ATTTTCTAAAATGTCATTTTCATCAGGATGAGCAAATTACTCATATATTCATATGAGAAATTGTACTTTTTTGAGCTAAGTAATTGGTTTCAAAGAATGTTAGTACTATAAGAGAAAAATGAATTTTTACTCTGAGATCTGATGGACTGCTTCTGGCAAAAATGCTGGTTCTCATTGTTGACAACATTTTACATAGTTCTGACCAGCAATTGCCATCGTATAATTATCTTGCATCACAAAGCAGAGGTTTTACCATTTAATATAGAACACTTCCCTCCCCTTTTGCTCTCTGATTAACTTAGACCTGGAAAGTAACAGGTTCAGATATTTTTTAACGTGTCATTTTTTTTTAGCTAATAACTGTTTTTGATAAGGAAAGAAACTGTTTTTTTCTCATAAGTATACTAAATTTAAGTCCACTGACTAATGATAACTTTTAATAGTACCTGGTGATTTACAGAGAATTTTTGCATGTACTATCTTATTTCCTGTTCTTAACAATCCACTGAATGGATTTTATGCTTAGTTTAAAGATCAAACTCGTAAATTAAATTTCATTCACACAGATAAAATATACCAACTAGGCCATCTTTTCTACCTACTAACATTGATTTATTTTGCATGATAAGGATGTATAGAGTTAAAAGAAAATTCAGAGACAGTATGAATTGCATGTGTCACAAAGCTATCATTAGCAACAGATGTTCTAGCTGAAGTAGAATTTTAAGTTTGCTTCAAGAAGCTGGATCAATATTGTAAACCTGTTACCTCGGAACATTTGGTAATTCAAAGATATAGTAATGGTAGGTAGATAATTGATTTAGCATAGTCATTGAATTTCTCTTCTGCCTATTCTACTTTATTTAATTCTAAATCATAGTAGCTATCTAAAACCAAACTCCTCCTCTTTTTGTATGAGACTCGTAACATTTTGTAGCTTCTTTAGAGAATTGACTGACATGTTTATTTCTGCAGTCAGTATAAAGACTAAAACTTGTTGCGGAGCAGAAAAAAAATTACTTCACTCTTTTGCTTGGAAGACATATACCAGGTCTTTCTCCAGCAGTCTGGGGATGAGCCGGGGATGGGAGCTAACCAAAACAGGCACATGAAAACATGAATGATGTCAAGGTGAAAATTAGTTTAACTCTGGAAGGAAATTCCAGGTTGACCTTTTGCCCTAAACTTCTTGTCACTAAGTAACCATTTTTGGATGAAGAAAGAAAATATTTTTTCTTTCACTTGTCATTTATTGCTATTAATATTAGAGAGTGATAGTGTAACATACAGTGTATTCATTTTTTTTCTTTGCTACAAGTGAAAGAATGCTAATTAAATATTTCAGATAACTGAAGTAGCATTAGATAAAGGTTTATTCTCTCTCAGCTAATATAAATTTATCTTTTTTCTCTAGTTGTATTATAAGCAGATATATTTAAAATAAAGTTATGACATTTGTAGGAGCAACATTTTAATTTCTAATTATAAAATGAACTTATTTTTCCTCTTACTGATATCTGTGCTCTTATGAATGTCTATGCCTTTGGGACTGCTTTAAAAAGGAATTAAACTAACAATAGTATTACTCATGCATTTAACAAAATTTATTGGGTGCCTAATATATGCTAGGCATTGCCCTCTACTGAGGTAGAAAAGCAGTGTCTGTGATTTCATGCACCTTATATTCTGACTTAATACAATATATTGTATTGAGGAGAGAGAAAAATGAAATTGTGTGAAATCAGATTATTTTGGGTAGTGATAAATGCTAGGAATAATGTGAGAGAAAATGACTGGGGCAGACCACTTTAGGTAAGGCTAGTTAAAGAAAGTCTGTCCCTGGAGTTGATGTTTAAACTCAGTGATGAAAGAGAGCCAGCCCATTTGAAGATGTAAAGGACAAGTGCTTCACATAGAGGAAATATCAAGTGCGGAGGTCCTTAGATGGAAGTGGTCTTGGCAGAAAGGCCAGTGAGGAGACCGAAGGACAGTGTGCAAGGAGGAAAGGGGTCCAAGTTGAAACCGGAGAAAGTGGTTCTAGGACCAGATGACACTGGACCCTGCAAGCCATGAGAAGAATCAGGATTGGACGGTGTAAGTTACTGGAGTATTTTGGCCAGGAAGTGTTTGATCACATGGTTGCTGTGTGGAACACAGGGGACAAATGTGGAACCAGGGAGACCAGTTAGTGAGCTGTTTCGTACTAGTTAAGATGAGAGCTGGATCAGGAGAGAAAGCTTAGATTAGGATTGTAGCAGCAGGGGCAGAGAAGTGTGAACAGAATTAAAATCTGCATCGGAAGTATAAAGCCAGCAGGGCTTGCTGATGGATTGGGAAAGGAAGGGAGGAGGAATGACTCATGGGGTTTTTGGCTCAAGCAGCTGGATGAATTTACTTGCACTTATGGATCAGGAGGTTGTTCTTTCAGTTTGTATATGGGCATTTATTTTTAATGAGGTGCATTGACCTGAATTAAAAGTGTTGATATATTATGTTAAGTCTTTAGGCATTTTCTAAAGATTATAGAAGAAAGTAATTATTGCAGTGATGCCAAGTTGGGGGGTCATTTTTTCTTTTCAATTTTTTTAATGTTATTGTAATCTAGTCATATAAGCCAGAAAACAAAAGAAAATGTGTGCACTTTCCTGGGACTTCTCATGTATTCGTTGGGTAGTTGTGAAAATTTATTGACTAACAAACTACTATCTTTCAATTTGTTTTTAATTATTAAAATAAAATACATTGTAAAAGAAAGTAAACAACCAGAGGATAAGTATGCAATCAGAATTAACAAAGCTCCTTCATCTTACTTTTCAGGGGTACAGTTTGACATATACTCTTGGAGGGTTCCTAGAACCTGGACAAAGGAATATTTACCAGTATATTTTTTCCCCTCACATATTAAAAAAAGTAGATTCAGTGTGAATTCACGTTTTTAACTTAATAATCTATCTAAAATATTTTTTCAGGTTAATACATACTGTTCTGCTGTAGTCTTTTTAAGGACTGCCTGTTATTCCGCTTCATTAATGTATTTTCACTTAACCTGACTCCTGTTGATGGACCCTTAGATCTTCAGTGTTGTGTTACTGTATACAGTGCCTTAAGGACTGTTCTTCTTTGGGAATGTCTGTCAGTATTTCAGCATATTGATTCTCCACATGGAACCTGGTCACAGTGCCCTCCAGGTTTGTACTACTGTGATTTGATGAACTACTTCAGCAGTTCTGATTTGGGTTGCCACAATAATAAGGCAGTGAAAATGTGAGTTTCTGGCAATATCTATCTATCTATCTGTCTGTCTATAAATTGTTTATAATGTATATATGTATCAAAACATTACACTGTACTGTAAATATATAGAACTTTTATTTGTCATTTATACCTTAATAGAGGGAAAAACAGTTGGAAATTTTTTTTAAAAAAAGGCTTAATAAAAATTAAGAAATTATTATTTAATATATATATGAATTGTTAATATTTACCAGTGTCACTCTTGACTTGCCTGCTACATGTAGAAGTCATTAGCTATTATAGGATGGCCATGCTTCAACTTTAAAGGAGATATTTCAGGAAATAAATCCATATTTTATTTATATTTCCTAAAAAGTATTTTTCCTGACAGTCATTTCACAAGACTAATTTGTACGTTGACTAAGGTAAGTACCTGCGATTTCAACCCTGCTAAGCTGTGATCTTACATATGACCAGAAGAGGGAGTTTTTATCACTTCTTGATGCCGTGGTACCTACTACCTGACTGGAATAATTCCTCTGATGTATGTACTAGTCCAAGTCCATAAAACAAACTGGTTTGGGAGGGGCCCAATAGCTAAATTTAGCTATTTCCCTTATCCCACATTATGTGTGTAGAAATCCCAGTCTTGAGGTTTACTTCAAAGTAATTTTATACCTTTTCATCTTGTGCATTTATTTGAAGATTAAAAAAATGAAAGAATTATTTCCGTTTAAAATAAAATACAAACAGCCCCTGATCACACAATATAGAGTTCTTGATTTATATTCTCTTCAGGTCACAAACTTTGGAATGAAATTTGTTTCATTGCCTCTTATGCTTGATGTATTTCTTAAAAAGGTTGTTAGAACTTCTGTTTTGTTTTCTTGAGACAGAGTCCTGCTCTCTCACTCAGGATGGAGTGCAGTGGTGCAATCTCGGCTCACTGCAACCTCCACCTCCCAGGTTCAAGTGATTCTCATGCCTCAGCCTCCTGAGTAACTGGGACTACAGGCATGTACCACCACACCCAGCTAATTTTTGCATTTTTAGTAGAGACAGAATTTCGCCATGTTGGCCAGGCTGGTCTTGAACTCCTGACCTCAAGTCATCTGCCTGCCTCAGCCTCCCAAAGTGCTGGGATTATAGGCGTGAACCACCACACCTGGCCTACAACTTCTACTACTGAAGATGTGTAGTGAGCTTTAGAGAGTTAAGATGTTATTTTGCCAAAGTGGCTAATAGGCCTTTTTCTGTGTGATTCAACTGTGGTCTGTTGTGCTACTTGAGTCTCAGCCTGCTTAGCCAAACAAATTAAGAGAGTGACAGTAATCAAGATACACTTGTTTGATGTAATACCAGAATATTGTATTTCTCTTTTTTCTTCTTCTTCGAAACAGATTCTCAGTCTGTTGCCCAGGCTAGAGTGCAGTGGCGCACACTTGGCTCACTGTAACCCCCACTTCCCGGGCTCAAGCAATCCTTCCACCTCAGCCCTTTCAGTACCTGGGACTAGAGGCACACGCCACCATACCTAGCTGATTTTTGTATTTTTTGTAGAGGCAGGGTTTCACCATGTTACCCAGGCTGGTCTCAAACTCCTGGGCTCAAGCAGTCCACCTGCCTCTGCCTCCTGAAGTGCTGGGTTTACAGGTGTGAACCACCCCCCTCGGCCAGAATTTTGTATTTCTTTAATTTTTCTTCAGCTACCTTCACAGTGCGTTTTTATAACAAATTTTTTAGACCAACTCTTTCTTTATAGATTTTTTGATCAGCATATGAATGTATTAAATATGTACACCTATAATGTATTTTTATGTAAATACACAAATGTAATCATCTCAACTGTTTTCAGTGCAGCCTTTTTCTTATTTCATTGGCTCTTTCAACTTACCTGCCTTCTCTAACTGTAGCAGTCCGCACTACACTATAAATCATACATGCTGCATTCTTAGTATGTAACTTAGTATGCATCCTTCTATATTTTTCTCATGCTTCTAACTCTATCCAGGCACATAGAATCATGTATTTTATTAGTAGGGGCTTTTGGTGATAGTTTTACAAAAAAATGGATCCTATTATGCACACTTCTGCTCCTTTTCTACTCAACAATACCTCATGTAAATCCATTCACAGCCCTGGATAACACTAATCCCCTCTTTTTAATGGTTGCATACTGCTCTAAAGTGTGGCTGTGCTGTAGCTTCCTCTGCCAGGCCCTCTATGGACATTGATTTTGTTTCTTGCTTTTTGTCTCTGTGAACCAAACAGCAGTAACCACTCTGGTACATACATACTTAATTACTGGTGGTTTAGTTTCTGTGGGATAGAGTCTCAGGAGTGGATTCCTGGGTCACAAAAGATAGTTATTTGCAGTGTTAATAGCTGCTGCTGGATTGCTTTCCAAAAAGGCTATAATACTTCATCTCTACCAGTCATTATAAGAGTATCTCCAAAGGAGTAGATGTATTTATTTTTCTAAGCTTCCATTTATTTTTCTAAAGCCTCTTAACAATGTTCCTTACACACACACACACACACACACACACACACACACACGTATGATTAATTTTAATTTGAAGTAAATTTCTCAAACAAGCTCGAGTCTGAGTAATAATAATATGAGACAGAGATCTTTCAAAACGAGTGATTATTTAAAAAAATATTTAAACAATTATAGGCAGTTTCCCTGGCATCTATGGGAAATTTCTATTCATTCTGTATGGGATTTACCTTAAGGAAGAAATCTCATTCTTTTATGCTAGGATTCCTCTGTGCAAAATGTGAGGCCTCCTAGAGGATAACAATTTTGAGTGTGATTAATTGCAAGGCCAAGGAAAAACTATGGCCAGTTTTGTTTCTGATCTCGCTATCCTCTTTGCAGTTGGTATGACTGGTCACCTTATAACATTGTTCATTGTGTGTTTCAAATAATAACTGGGCTGAGGTCAGACTGTGGTTAACTCAAAGCCTGTGTAAATCAGGCCATGAAAATATATTTTATTTGCCTGCCTTACACACATGAAGTGTGGCTGAGCCCTAGAGAGCCATCCACCAAAAGATAAGCTAGAGGAAGGCTGCTGCATGGTTTTAGCCTCCAAGGTGAATTATTCCCGTTTAAATTTCATCTCCCACCTCTCCTAATCCAGTGTGAGTACCTAATGAGCGCTGGATAATAACATAGCAACATTTCTAGGTGAAGCTAATCTGATTCTGGATAGCAGGCTTCCAGGCCCACAGCCGAATGAATTGCTTGGTATTTCCAAGTTTGAAAATACTTTTTTCCCCTTTCAAGTGCTCCTTGGCAGCAGGTAAGGAATGTTAAAGCTCCTGTAAGTGCCAATTAAGGCCAATTATAACTCGCCTGGCCTGCTGAGACAGTGAAGTGGAGTTAGTGGAGACTTGTATTCCTGTAAAATGGAGAACTGGCTTTCACCAATGACAGGAACACAGTATTTCATAACTGCCAGCAGCTTGTTTGTTGCCCTCCAGAACACTGAATGACACCTCTGCTGGCTTCTCAAGGATTCCGTTTAGGAAATCCCAAGATTTGTAGGGGACTTGACTAATTTCTATAATAGAAACCTCAGTTTTTCTGTTTCTGTTTAACTCTTCTTTTCTATCATCCATCCAGTTTCTCCTTGGTTGTAATCATAATAGCTAACATTTGCTGAACGTTTAACAAGTGCTGGGCACTGCATTACCTGCGTTATCTCAAATTTACTCCTCAACCCAGGCTTGTAGGAGGAGGGAGTATCAGTACTTAGCTCTCCAGAGTCTCTTGCCCATGGCTGCACAACTAGAAGTGCTCAGACTGCAGGCTGGCTGCCCCCTGAACCCAAACCTTGAGTGTTTCTCCTAGCCTCCTGCAAGTTTGCTTGTTTGCTGCGAATAGGCTAATGCACAGTTCAGAACTCCCTTTGTGCACTAGAGTAAAATTGACATGTGTACACCGTCCAAACCACAGCTGATACATATAATTTTTGGTCAGTGAGGCACGGATGTTATTCTATTAAGATGTTATTTTAGTCTGTAGTTTTTTTTTAGTCTGTAGTCTTAATTTTTTTTCTTAGGAAAAAAGAAATATGACCATGTCCCCAGACCTAAACACTTATATCTGAGCCATCACTGGGATATTTAATATCAAAATAAACTTTATTTGGATAGGATATTGAGAAATGATTTGAAGAAAATTGTGATAATGCTTTACAAGCAGAACAAAGCAGTATTTGCTTAAACATTTTATTCAGGGCATTAAGAGGGGCACATGTGAGTGTTTAAAATTGAACTTTGTTCTCAGTTTCTATGTATTTGTGTTATTGGTATACAAAATTATGTTTTCGTGGCTTACACGACCATTCATCCCTTTTCTGATGTAGGTCTTAAAAATGTTAAAATTGTTTTTCTCTTATTTCTGAACTTAAATATAGACGTGTGTTTGTAGCATTTAAGAACATTTGCTAAAATTCACCCTGCTTTTCTTCAGTGTCGCAGAATGACTTGATTCTTAGAACTGTCTTGGATTGGCTGACTCTCATAATGATATTTTTCCCCACTGGTGCAATCACTGTGTACAAAAGGGAATATTAGAAAAGCAAGCGTTTGTCCTTGGGAGGCCAGCAAGAAGTCTGGTGTCCTGTCGTACAAGTATAGTGATAGGGAAGTGTGGTTTAGCTCAAGAAGGATCCTCCTACCCTGTTCTTTTCTGCTATTGATGACGTTAAGGAGATTCCTTGGCTACCCCTGCAGGGAGGGTAGGTGAAGTAGAGTAAATACTACTAAGACCTGTGGCAATCAGGTTGTACAGCCATGGATTTTTTTTTTTTTTTTCCTAAAGAAAAGCTTCAGTGAATTAACTTAAAATTCTTATTTTCACTAATGAGCTTTTGAAAAGATTTGGGAGATGTATCCGCATCCTGTGCTTCTAAGGCTTGCTGATAACTCTTCCCTTTGGTTCTTCTAGTGTCTTTTAAGGGCTACCATAGTTTTGGATTGTATGAACGTTATTGTAAGGAATCTCGGTGGTGGGGGAGGGCTTGGGGGAAAGTGGGTTTCAGAAAATCCCCTGGGTCTTGGTATTGCTGACATGGTTGGGATCTGAATCCTTGTGAAAATAGGGCAGTGCAGCTATTATTCTTTTGCTTTAGAGTCAATTTAGAATTTGGCCCGATAGAAGACGTTTTCATGCTTGTCTAAAAACTCTTCCCCACCCGTTTCAGGCTAAATCGTTTCCACATATGTAATTCATGACTTCTGCCCAATATTCTGTGTGGGGTGATAGGATTTCGTAGAAGAATCTTTTCCCGCTTCTTTTGACATTTAAAATAGTTCATTTGGAACTATCAGATTTCTAAGTCATTATTATAAAACTCAGATCACTTAGCGGTTTTTTCTATGTCACTTGTGGTGATTTTTTGTTGTTTTGTTTTTATTAGAACTCTGTCACCTGGGCTGGAGTGCAGTGGCGCAGTCATAGCTCACTGCAGCCTCAAACTCCTGGACTCTTGCCTTACCCTCCCAGGTAGTTGGGATTACAGGTGTGAGCCATTACACCCATTCCATGTCTGTTTGACAGTAGATTTGTTGATTGGCCAGAGAGAGAGGGAGCATGATAGGGATGATAGGGAAACAGGCCAGGAAGACACTATTTTCAAGGGGGCACTCAGTGAGAGAAATTCTTGGATTTAAAAGTATGAAAGCTTTAGTCAGTCCTCCAGTGATTGAACAACAAACTGGACAAACATGTGGATATGAAATTACACATATTTTACAAATATGCACAGAAAGTGGGTTAAGTTTTTTGTTACTAGATTTAGGAAGGAAAAGTATGCTTAGGAATAATAAACTTTTTTTGTAAAGTTTAGCAACTGTAGATAGTATAGGGGAAATAAAACCTGGAAAAATGCTGCAGGCATTTTATAGAAATGTTTAATTTTAAGACCTTTAGGTCTACTGAGACTTAAAATGTAGGTTTTTAAATAAATCATGTAAGTTTTGTAATATACCTGGTAGTAACTGTGTCAGTTTAAAGGCATTCAGAAAAAAATTCACAAAGTATAAGTAATTTGCATTTTAGCAGGTTAAACTTATAAATTCCATCTTCCCCAGTTTTGACAAGTTGCCTTTCAAATAGAAAGATTAATTTACACCGTCCAGGACGCCTGGTATGACCATATTAGATGAAATTAGACTCCACCCCCTGTTTTCTGTTGATCTGCCAGGACCTTTGTAATTCAAGTGCTTTTTACAGTAGTAGCAAATGTTACATAAGCCCAAACATGGAGCATATTTGGAGTTGGTGGGCAGACCCAAATCATGATGCAAGCCTGCAGTAGCAAGTGTGCAATGAAGCACAACCAAATTCTGTGAATGGAAGGTAGCAGGACGCCTCTCCAAAGCAGCCCTTCTGCGCAGGAGCTGAAAGCTCCACTGGGTAAGTTTTCTGAGGCAGTTTTCAGAGGCTGGGCTTGGCTCAGGGCCCAGCTCTGGATGAGCCTGTGGACGGTCGGGTAGGTCTTTGCTAACCTTACATAGAACCAAGCAGAGTTGGGAAGAGTTTATGCAGGCCTCTTTCCTCCTGGCGTTTGTCTTGCCCTGCCAGCAGGCCAGGAGGGCTGCGCTGCTCAAGTAGTGGAGGGAGGGAGCCTGCAGAGCTAGGGGATCAGCGTGGTTAATCGCAGCCACAGGGATTAGCTGCTGCAAGCTGTCCACAGGAGCCATTCTGAAATGTCATTTGAGTGATCTGGCCAAAGTTCAGATGCAGACAGGAGTCGAGTTTGTTATTAACTCCAACAAAATGCTGAGGTTTGCACCAAACAGTTCCCATATCTCAAAACAGAGAGTATTGGTTACGTCGCTCTCTAAAAATGGAGGAACGTTGTAACATGCTTTAACTGTTTGTTTTTTATCTTACTTGTGGTAAGTGAGGTTTCATGACAGGCAGTTTGCAGTGTTTCCTGTAGAATGTGTTTGAAAGCTGTTTTGTCAGATACTTCAGTTCCACAACAAAGTTTCAAACAAAACACTGCATCAAGAGGAAGAACAGCTTCAAAATACAACCAGTAACCCTGGGAAGTCATTCAGTAACTTAAATTGAGTGTATAAAAATTTAATTATGGACTGACTGCCAGAAAAGATGATTTTTTTCAGTTGTGTTATTAAGGTAGCCAGCAGAGCTAAGCTGATTCTTCTTGGGTGGATGTGGAGGCTGTTCTCAATGTTACCTTACCTGTCTCAGACCTTCTGTCTTCATGCAGGAAGTGAGGTGTCAGTTGAGTTCTTTAGTTTTCAGGGGATTCAGATTTCATGCCTTCTGCAATAATGAGCTTGACCGGATGGTTTTAATTGAGGTTGAAATTTAGCTCCCCAGTTGTAGGACTTTAAATATGAAAAGATCTTAAACCTTTAATCAAATTGCTGTTGATTCTCTATAACTGATTTTTCTGAAAACTCTTGTCAGACAGTTTTAGGTTTGCTATTTCTGCTTTCGTTTTTGCATGTCACTTCTGATGTTTTATTAGTTGACAGCCCTGGCCTGCAGGTGGAGCAGATACTGTTTCTCTTCAGAAAAAATAAATGTGTGTTGCAGACTCATTGAAAACATTGGCATTCCTGAGTAATTAATCACTCATTCCTTATTAAAAGAATGCATAATGAAGGAAGCTGTTAGGCTGTGTTCAAAATGTGAGGTTTTTCTTATTTCCATGTTTTGGTCTTCAGGTATTCTGCCCTCCCCCACCCAGAATAAGGTGATAGAAAAAGGATATAAAACTAGTGGATAATAACAATAAGGACTGTGACTGGCTCAGTGTAGCACTTTTTAGCAGACGGTTTTGTCATTTCGTTGTACCTTGCAGAGTTGCTCTTGTTTGTTGGACTGGGAAGATGATGCTCCCTGTTGGGATTCCTACACAGAAATTTCTATTTTAAAAGACAAAACAGAAACCAAACAGAAACAAGACAGCTCCTCTAATTTGAGTTTTACCAGTTTCCTTTTATTCTCTCTCTTTTTGTGTATATGTAAAAATTGGATTGGAGTGGTAACGGCGTAGTTTTGTTTTGTTCTTTTAAATTGTCTTTTAGCATTTTGGTAATAGCCCATATATTTCATTTGGGAAAGACAGTGACCTAGACCAAAATGAGACTATAGAGATACTTGTGTAAAGACTGAGTATGTTTGATGCTTGAACTACAGATAGTGTAACAAATTGGAAGGCTATAGTTACAAAGGTAAATAGCTGAAATTCTAAGGTGTTCTTTTCCCTAACATGTAGAGGATTAAATCAAAAGTAGCTAGAGACTAGTGGATTTTTGTTTTGGCTCTCTTTTCTTCTCACATGTTGGTACCTGAGGTATAGAAACAGTTCAAGTGAATGATGGTGTGAGAGGGAGAAAGGGGGAGTGAAATTTTACAAAATGATGTGCATCACTCAGATGGTGAGGTCATGTTTGTTTCAGCCAGGGTGATTTATTGCTGTAGTGTGTCACCATCTTTTGGGTAACACTGTGCTCTCTGATGATAGCAGAGAGAAGTCCTTATGGCTGTTAGCAGAGCAGAAGTGTCAGCCAGCATGTCATTCATTGTGTGGTATCTGTAGTTAGAAACGGTGACAGCAAGATCACAGAGGTGGCATAAACAGTTGGATGGTTGTGTTACGCTCAAAAGCAACAGCATTCTTTTCCCAAAAGGTACTTTCCCTAAGTGTGTGTATGCGTTAGAGAGGATGCTAACCCTCAGGTCAAAAGTCTGCGCCTTGAACGGGGTTGCAGGAGCATAGAAAGGGCGTCCTTCAGGAACTGAAGATCACTCAGACCACTCGGTTTTACTTAAGACAAGTTGTTTCATGAAAGAAAAAAAAAAAAGGGTGTTATACTCGTAGCTGAGGTGATCAACTGTTACAACACTCTGTACCTCCTCTTTTTCCCTATCATTCCGTCTTTTTCAATAAAATTTTTGGATATTTGTAAAGCCCTTTTACAAATGTTTGCAAAGAGCTGCAAGTTAAGCAGGCAGGGAAGGAGTATCCCCCAGATATTCAGTAAGTTTTTCATATTTCTCACATACTTGAAAGCAGAGTTCAGAAAGAACAGTCCTCTTGGGAAGAATTCCTGGCAAGAGGATTATTTGAGGTTGCCATATTTCTGCTCCTTTCTTAGCAACATTATTTACAATCCATTCACGCCTGTCCCTTCCCCCACTGAAGTGGAGTCGTTCTCCCTTGTAATCTGCCCTTTGTGATCTGTTCTCTTTCATGCAGCCAGTGTGAATGGGTATGCTGCAGTGTGCGCCCTGCCCAGAGACGTGGAAATGCCAAGAGACCCGAATACTTTAGTTGGGCCTTTATTTCTGTGATAAAGCACTGACTTGAAGAGCTTGATAATTTGATTAGGACCTTTGGTGAAAAGTTGTTTCAAGTGGCCCAAGTGCTATAAATGACTCTCTTTTCTGCACTTTCCCCTTATGTTTTAATTTAAAAGCACCTCCGCGTTAGAGGGAGGAGAGATGCATTTGGCAGAGGTAGCAGTTGGAGACTAATTTGTTAGGGCAGCCAGTGTTGAAATCATCCTTTTCAGTTAAATCTCTCTAGTGGAAATGATGCCGAGTGCTTTCTGGCAAGGACTTTTTCTTTCTTAGTGTTTTCCAGTGCCATTTGTAACCCACCTAAGCATGCTCTGAAGTTGCCTCCCAGCCCCAATTTTGGCTAATTGTCCTTTGAGGCACTGCATGTCAGAGGTCAGTTCTGAATTCCCCAACTTGAGATTTGAATGTTCCGGGGACAGTCCCACCGACTTGCTTCCTTTTAAGCAATTAGACTACACTCAGCACTCTCTGGAATAGTTTCATCAAGTGCCTGGGGAACATAAAGAAATTAGATCAAAGATAAAGCAGATTTAGGATTAAAAAGAACCTGTGACTACAAAGAGTGGATGGAGTAGGACCATGTTTGCTTGTCAGGCCACGTGTGAGTGCTTTTAAGAAGAATAAGAAAATTTAGAGGGAAAAGTTGACAACAATGAAAGTAGTGAGGAAATATGAAATGCTTAATGTTCATGTGTAATCCATATGTAGTGATATGTAGTCCATGTGTAGTGATTTGCGATGGTATGCCAAGTATTTTTTAATATTCATTAGGAAAAAATATATATATATATGAAACTCCTACATCAAATACAAAGTCATTCTTTCAGAGATATTATTGCTTAGGATAATGCTAAATTAGTACCTAGTCGGCCACTGAATTTTTAAAAATATATTAAGTAAATAATGGTCTAGATATTGTGCAGATTTGGAAAAGGATCCAAAGTATGATTTAGTTGTGAATAACAGAAGTTGAGGGAAAACACTAGTTGGGAACAAAGTACATGTGTAAGAAAAAAGTGCTGAGTTTGTTTGTTTGTTTGTTTAATGCAGTCTTTATTTCTAGTCTGCCTCAGGTCCTGCTCTTGGATGTTTTCTTAAGGAGTTATAATCCTTGTGAAAGACACATAATGCCAATTGACACCTCATGAGTTGTGTTTGGTGGCCTGGAAATGGAGTATGACAGTTTGGATTAATTGGGAGCCGTGTAATAGCAAGCTGCAGTTATTTTTCAACCTGGACATAAAAATAAACAATAAATAATTTTGTGAAGGGACAGCTTGATGAATGACCTAAAGTTTTAAAACTGAGCTTTTGATATGTGCATTGTTGCTTACTATGACTGGCCAAAGACTGTGTGCATGTTTACCTGTGTTTTACATTTTATAGCCATGTATAACCTTCATTATTGAAAGTCCTTGCTTTAAATGACCGTCATTATGGGATGTTTGTGGAATGGAACTGTCAGAAGGCATGAAGTCGTGCATTTCTTGAAGCATGCATTGGTATTTCTCATAAGGCCCATCCATGCCGATTGCACACTCTGTTTAACCTTAACTGACTGAGTCTATCTGAAAGTATGAGTGAGTTTCATTTAAAGAAAAATTTGTGGGTTTTACTTAGAAAATCTGCCCAAAATTTCCACCTTTGGATCTGTAAACTGAATTTGAGACTTGATCTTCATTTTATTCTATTTGCAGGTTTTCGTGAGTGTCTTCTGAATTCTGTGAGGAAAATGAGCCAACCTTTTATTTGTAAAATAACTTTATCTTGAATGAATGTTCTTTTTGTTTGGTATGAATTTGCTAATTTTTAAATGAATTCTTAAAGTTGCTCCCCTGAGCTCCTATCTTAGAATAGGTTGATATCTTCCTGAAATGGCATGTAAAAATATGTGTACTAAATCCTTATCACACTGGAGAAGATAACTTACAGTAAAGAGGGTTTGGTTTGTTCTTAAGTGATTTCTACTTTTCTTTAGAAGTCAGGAGGTGTTATTGGCGAGTACTTTTCTGTCTAAAGAAATAAGCCTGTAGCTGGCATCAGCCAAGCTAATGGGGTATCTGTCTTATGTG